CCATTTAGTTATCTCTGGAATGATGTAATAACGAGCGTTCTTGCTCATTTTGCTTCCGAGAAACATGCAAAACGGGACGGAAAACATGAAATTTTGCAATAATCTTGCGCCACCCTTGCAAAAAACGACGGTCATTTTTCTAATTTCATAAACAACAGAAGACTGTATTTTTTCTACATAACCCCCCCCCCTGACTTTAAAGCTGGATCCGCCCCTGCTTGTAAATCACTATCATTTATTAAATTTGGGAATATCATTGCAACATCAGAAATAGATTGTAGGGAACCTAATCTCACTATTCCAGAATCCATAAAACATTATTTTATCATATTTATTACCTATATGGCGGGCTTGATACATTTTATGTTTAAAAAAAAACTCTAAAATACGCGGTGTGCTAAAATAAAATGTCTGCTATTACCAACGTACTTTGATCATGAATGAATGTTATATTATTTTAAGTAATCCACGGAAAGGTTTGCAACTTTTATTTGTTACTTTTCGGTAGAAATCTGCATGGTATCGGTAGATCGGCAGGTTCCTTGACAAATCGGTAGATCTACCGAAAAATCGGTGGACCTGGCATCTCTGGGTTTACGCGAAATGAAAATTTCCGACGACACGTTGCGCGTGCTGTTCCGATATGGGAAAACTGCAGGCAACGTCGCATGTGCTAAAGGAACTGACAGCCAAACTGTTACATAACCTCAATCATCAGGAAGAGGCAGTGGGACCCCAAAGTGTGTGTTTAGTGCATAAACCGGATTTACCATACAATTCTAGGTAAGTTTACGCATAACCCATGTATTTTTCTCTTAAACCGCCTAATTTGTCCGTACATAAAGCCGTTTAAGCTGCATGTAAAAATTCACTTCTTCAACACCCCCTTCAGCCTCAAGTAGCGCACAATTAAGGGCACTGAGCCCAAAGTGATGGCGATGCGAACCGGGGCGAACATCTTATGAATAGCGTAGGCCACTGCGAAAGTGCCCGCATTGGACACAAGCACAGTTTTGCCGTGCATCCAGTTGTCGAGGCCTAAGTGCTGCAGTAATTGCTCTAAATCCAGTCCGCTGGACACTGCCAAGTAGCTGGTGCCTAAAGAGAGCAGCGAAATGCCTACGTGAAACACAATGACTGTGCTCCCGTAGTCTTTCACGGCCCTTTTCAGCTTCTGGCTGTTGGTCAGGGGAGCTTCGGGCTGCTTCATAGATAAATAGTGCTTTTGGCCGCTGGACCGCTGGACGGCCCCAAAAACCAGCTGGGAAGAGCGCCATGGGGCGTAGGCCCGATGCACTGCAAACGTAAGGCTGTGGAATCCGATTCAGGCACTTTGAGAGTGGACTTACCAAGCTGCGCACTGTGCAGCAGAAGCCTGGGGATGTTCATGGTTTTAGCATGGAAGCTGTTGACCTTTAATCCGCGTATTTATTTAAATTATTAAATCCTACAAAGTCTAACCTAGAAGTATGTTGTTCATGTTTACACTCTGTCAGGCTGAGACAGGGTTGCCAGGTCCGAAAATCGAGTTTCGGCAGAAAATCGGTAGACTCATTTTTCTTTCATTTCTTCAAGGGCCAGAGCTGGTTGGGTAGTCCAAAACCTCACCAAAAAAAAGGCTCCATAAAATCGCGCGTTTTTCAAAACTTGAATTTTTAAACAAACAGGAATACTAAAATAAGCATGAGTCAGTAAAGAAGTAAAGATGAAATTGTGCTCGTTTTTAGCATATTTCTCAACTTAGTTTTCATCAGATTAACCTGTGAAAATATCCGTTCAACATTGGCTGATGAGTGAGGTAGAATAAGCAGGTTACAAATAAAATTGGAAACATGAATGTATCACCTCCATATTTCAATATTTATACTTGGCTCCAAAACTCTTCAATATTTCCAGACATTGTTTAAATTTTGTTAACATTTCGCAACAGACGTCATTCTGTGTCCAGACCTTGTAATTCACTATCAGTTATTAAATTTGGAAATATCATTGCAACATCAGAAATAGATTGTAGGGAACCTGATTTCAAGTTTGCAAATTAAGGCAACGCCGCTCAATTGGAGATTAATTAATAAAAACAACTTTTGCAATATAACCAATTTAATAATAAAAATCAGCGCGAATATTTCTGGTATTTTTGTCAACGTAGCACAAATAGGGAAAATTTAATAAATACAAAATATGCTCGATTAAAGGTAAAAAAATCACGATAAATTATCACTTTCAACTCGCGCCGCTAACACGAACAATTAACACGTCGCTATATAACAACAGGTGGGTGGGATACGTGCACTTAGAATTGAACATCAACTGTTTGAACACTTAGTCACCGTTAAAAAATATATGTATATCGAAGATAGTGTTCGACGCCCATAGCGGCCTTATGTATGTCCGAAAGTCCCAACTGATAATCTATCACATGTAGCTTGGTCCAGTCTGAGCTTGACGCACTAGAAGAAACTCTGCCGTCATGTTTTTCGAGGCGGCGGCGGTGGCGGGGGCGCCTGGCCAGAATTGCCCGGAATGTTTTCGTAAAGAATCGGTTTGGCCAAATCCTCCGGCGGCCTGAAATACACAGATTGTTTAAAATAAGAAAACAATAAAGAGAGATTACTCAAACGCCGCAAATAGCGCCTTAAGAAAGTTGTTCTTAAGACGGTGTTGACTGGTTCGGCCACGGCCCGTTTAAAATATCCAAAGCTGGAAAGACCGCGGTCCAAAACCGTGAGCGGAGTTTGAAGGAAACGCCAAATGAAAACTTAAGGGTTCAAAGGTTCACCTGGGCAAGGGAATTTCCGATACGGCCCTTTGGGGCTTTTTGGCATCGGGGCGTAGCACCACTGGAGTGGGTGACTGCGGGAAGAGGGTCATAGTGCTGGACAGCGTCGTGCCCAAGTTGCCAATGTCGCTACCGCTGTAACGGATGTTTGTGTACTCCCGTCCGGACTGGAGCGACTTCTGAAAATCCCCCAATTAATCCCACTGTGAATCAAATCCAGTTTGCCGTGCATACCTGCTCAGCCTTGATGCGCTCCGTAATGGTCTCAATGTGATGTTGAACAGCCAGATAGACGAACTTATACTGAGCTTCGGTTTGCACCATCCCGGAGCGCTGGGAGCGCACCATTTGAATAGTGCGCTGGATGTCGATCTCGCAGTCCAGCCCGTAGCGCTTCAGTTGATCAAGAATCATGTCAATGACTATGAAGGTGCCGGTGCGTCCGATGCCTGAAAGCGCGTTTAATCAGCAGATGATCCCGGGGTGACGTTGAGGACTTACCGGCAGAGCAGTGGACTAAAATAGCGCCGGGGGGCTGGTTATTGGGTAGTTCCCGCTGTAGCTCGTCCTGCCGCTTGTTCACTTCGTGGAGGAAGTTGAGGACGCAGCCCGGATCTGAGGGCACGCCGTGGTCCGGCCAGGCCTGCACTTTGCGTTAAACTAATCGCATTTTATGAAGTAAAGACGCAACTTACCGTGAAGTGGTAGTGGAAGGCTTTGCGCTCCTCATCCGAGCCCTCCATGGTGACCAGGAACTCCCGCAGGGTGTAATGGGGAGTGGAGGACTCCACAAGGTTCCTCACCACAACCTGGCCGTACTCCTTGCTTTCCCCCGGATCGGGCCAATAGCGCGCACACTTGTTCTT